AAATGTGCTTGTCCTTCCTATGGTTAATAAGTGTCGGTGTGAAATTAAAGCAATTTGTCGACCTAATTCTGTGAAGTTAATTTGTGTATGTTGACAAATAAAAGCATAGAAGCGAATACAAATACATTAATTTATTCCCTTGGTTCGGCTGTGGATATGTGCACTACCTATCCCTTGCCACGTTTAAATTTTCTGGGTTTCCTTGGTCCAAAGTTTTACCTACAGAAGCGTCTTCTCGCGTGACTGTGGAAATAACAAAGCGACATACATATCCCACAAAGCCCGAAGCGCATTGGTTGAGACAATGAATTTCGTTTCCTTCTTCGGGCCGTAAAAATGTAGAAATTTGACTCGGCCGCCGCTTCAAATCTCACCTTCATGTACGCCTTTAACTTCACTTACCAAATAGTCCTTGGACCAAGAAAGCCAACCACGAAGGTGAGGGCGGAGTCCACCACAAGAGTAGGCTATCGTCCCTAGAATGTTTAGCCATTCCTGCGTAAGAAATAATTTGCTGGAAATGTTAAACCGAGCCTTAAAAATTTAACGGGGGTGTGAAGCAACCAACCAATCAAACACCTTCGAAGACGTCGGCCTCGTGGCAGCGTCTTGCACTGTCTCGTTCGAAACCCAAACTTATCGTCACTCAGCACCAACCCACGCTCGTTTATCCCCCGTAGGACCCTAGTGAGTCCTCGAAGGTGCCATTCGCACTGTATAATAAAGCCTGATGTTTCTCGGTTCAGTCGGTAATATTTTGTGAACAAAACACTGGAAAAAGCTGAGGAGTCTGATGGATAGTGGTGAACCCATGTTGAACGTAAATGCAGTGGGAATTATAACATTCTGGGATGAGAGTAGAGCCAACCTTAAATCAAACCTTAATTCGGTGCGGCTGCATTATAATGGGTCTCCTATCTCATGATTCAAGATCACCAACGTTTGATGGAGTTTGGGATTCATCACCAGCTGCTGTTGCAACGGTAAAAGAAATAATATACATCCTTTACCAGGCCCAAATTCTAGATGTGCTGTTTGGTTTGGGTAATTTAATTCTACCCCATTGTTTCCTGCATGTTACAGCACTGTTCACGCAGGGAAGGAAAGATCTAGACCAGGGGTGGGGAACCTTTTCGTGTCGGAAGGCCGCATTAATTTGGCTGTAATCAAATAAGGCCGCATTCAAGAAACTTCAATTAGATATACTTAAAAATGTACATTATTTTGTAAAAATCTAACTACTATCTAATTAATAATTTCAAAAAAATGAAAACTCATGGTTAATTTTAAAGTGAACTAACCTTTTAATGACTTTCTTGTATCTGCTTCTTGTTGGAAAGAATTTGAATGTTTGGTTGCAACATGCACTAATAAGAATAAAAGAATTTGTTCTGTAAAATTTTGATTCAGTCAAAAGGCCGAACTTAAGGATCTAGAAGGCCACATGTGGCCTTAAGGCCGCAGGTTCCCCACCCCTGATCTAGACTGTAACTAACTCTTCTAATGTGCATCTGATCCAATCTCTCGTAGAAGTCCTGTTAACCTGTCAGGCGCCTGGTGCCTGAATGTGCTGTGAAGACGTGCAGCGGACTTGGAGGTAATGTAATCGTCTAGTCATGAGGTCGAGCTC